CGGCCACCAGGTCCCCGCCGCCGACGCCAAATGGAGCGCCAGGAGGCCATGGACAGCACCTTCGTGCTCTCCAACATGTGCCCCCAGGTTGGCGAGGGCTTCAACCGCGACTACTGGGCCCATTTCGAGGAGTTCTGTCGCGACCTCACCCGGCACTACCCCTCGGTGCGCATCGTCACCGGGCCGCTCTATCTTCCCAAGAGGGACCCCCGCGACGGGAAGTGGCGCGTCAGCTACGAGGTCATCGGCTCGCCGCCCAACGTGGCCGTGCCCACGCATTTCTACAAGGTCATCTACGGCGAGGAGTCGAGTGCGCACAGTCCGACGGCCAAGGTGGCGCTGGGGGCGTTTGTGTTGCCGAATGCCGAAATCCCAAACGAGAAGTCCCTGGCCGACTTTGAGGTCCCGGTCGAGGCCGTGGAGAGGGCAAGTGGCTTGACTTTTGCTGAGAAACTGCCAATCGAGAGGAGGAAACGGCTGTGTCAAGAGGTGAGGTGTGAGATCTTGGTTAGGGAGTTTGACAGGGAGAGGAGCTTGCAGCAGGGACAGCAGAGGGGAGGGACTTGGCCGAGACTGGCAAGGTAAAGATGTGTATAGGCTGTGTTTTGTAATGTTTAAGCATAGAGGACACGTATTATATATACAACATTGAGAGGCGCTCTTAGTTACTGTATCGACGGCGAGCGAGCAAGATGGAGATCTGGTTGTACACTATGAACACAATCTTATAAAGAATTCAACTCCCCGGTAACGAGCAGAACCAATCTTCATTTACCGCTGCATCAGATTCGATTGCCACCATACAATTTCATGCACCAGGCAAGGGCCCCGTGAATCTTGTAGATACCAACACATGGACCTATTGAATAGTATCCCCTCCGTGCCCGATGCCTCAATTAGCGCGTTTGGTGAAATTTAAGCTCAAATAAGGTCGCTCACAGGACATCGTCTAACCAGCATTCAATGAATATATTATCAGACAAATCATTTGACAAGTGAGTTAAAGCTTTGCTCTTGAAGACACTTATTCCCGAATATCTATCAAAGGCGTTCGAGCAAGCAAAAGTTGTAGCAACATCGAAATAAGGAGATCGACGACGCTAATTGAGGCATTCTACACCCCTGTTCGGGCACGGAGGGGATATACTATTCTACCTGCTCACCCTCCCATTTGCGTCCCTGACTCTGAACAAATTCCACATTTCCTGCACTTTCGTGCTTGTCGGCAAAGGGAAGCTTGTCCTTTAGTAGGAAGATATGCAGCTCGGTGGATCGTGCTGATTTCATTCTCCTGTAGGATTCGGTCAAGCATTTGGGCCAGCTCCACAGATGTGGCAGATGTGAATCCTCTTGGCTCGACCGCATGGAGTCTTTCGACAGGGAACTTGATTTGAAGCTCATTTGAAAGAAAAACCGCCAGCCTCGAAGGCATCGGTGTTTGTGTGTTTTCGGTCATCCAAAAGGCCTCCGCACCGTCTTGCCTTGAAAAAGTTTCTCAGTAGGCTTGACTGGGTTGTGGTAGATGTCATTTTGCATGCCAGCGTTCCGGAACAGCGGCCTTAAATCCCTCAATTTCTGCATCAAACCATGGCAAGGTCTCCGAACTTCTTCATGAAGCGGTGACACGCTGAACATTTGAATTGCTGACAATACTCTCGAGACAAGCCACCACGGAAAGCATCTTGGAGGAGCTAGTAAGTAATTATCACCAAGAATGGTGTGAAATATAGATCTCACAGGTTCGAGAAGCTTTTCGGCATTCTCTCCATTGATCGATAAAGTGATTTTGTCTCAACCACGCTGGCTATTGGTGATCTCACTCGTGAGAAGCCGCCATTTTGTGGAAGACCCCGAGATGTGCAGAACTAAAAAGGCGGTTGTCTATCAGATGTCGTTCATCAGGCTTTTAACACATCGAAGAGAAGGAATGTCGAATAATGCAGCAGATTGCGAAGGAAATGCATGATACTGTTCATTCAATTATCTATTACACTGGCATAAAATATCCATGAATATGACTAGATAAGGCTGGACGCAAAGGCACCTCATCTACCTTTGAATTAATCAAAGGATTGAATAGAATCTTATGCAAACTTACGTTGTATTAGCAGCTCGCTATACGGAGTAGTCAAATTTTAGATACAGTCGAGTTACAATACTGCGGCGGCCGACGAAAGACGGAGACAAATTTTGCAAGACTACAAGCAAATGAGATATATCATGTGCACCGGGTTGAGCTGGGTAAGAAGAGTAGCGACCCAAGATCAAGAAAAACCATTGATAGACATTCTGCAATCTATCTAGCTTGGCTATTCAGCCGAAGTCTCCAGCAGCCGTTTGATGCTGAGGTTTTTCAAGGGGGGTGATGCAATACTTTTAGACTTGTAATGAAGACCAGAGAACCCCCACCCGCCGTGCCAGCTTAGGAAGATTTGAGTACCCTCCCTCACTAGTATGATGCTAGCGGAATGACTCCTTTACGCCTTGCCAGACTTGGCAATGGTAATGGGAGTCTTGGGCTTGTCGTTGCTACCCTTGGGTGCATTCTCGATCTTCTGAACAACATCGTAACCGTCAATGACCTCGCCAAAGACGCAGTGCTTGCCGTCGAGCCAACTGGTGACTGCGGTGGTGATGAAGAACTGGGAGCCTGGGAAGAAGTGAGGCACATGTTAGCCCAGAAACACATCTTGATCATTCACTGCAGAAGAGAGAGTCTTACCATTGGTGTGAGGACCAGCATTAGCCATGCTCAACAGGCCGTGCTTGGTGTGCTTGATGGCGAAGTTCTCGTCCTCGAATTTCTCGCCGTAGATGGATTTACCGCCAGTGCCGTTACCTTTGGTGAAGTCTCCACCCTGGATCATGAATTGAGGGATGACGCGGTGGAAGCCAGAACCCTGATAGCCGAAGCCATGTTGGCCGGTGGCGAGCTCAAGGAAATTTCGGGTGGTCTTGGGGACTTGGTTGCCGTAGAGACCCATGACGATGCGGCCAAGAGGCTGTCCACCTTGCTCGATGTCGAAGTAGACCCTCTCGGTGATGGTTGTGTCTCCCATGGTGACGATGAGAACGAAATGAGTCGGACTTGGTTGAAAATGGGGATGGGCAGCTCAAGATTGATTGTATGAAGTTCCTGTGAGGTTGTAGATGAGGATAAGAAAAGATTAAGATCAAGACTAAGTCGTTTGCACTTAAGTTAAGAGTAGTGGGGTAGTTTCAGCGAGGCAGTGTAGGGGTCCAACTCAGGCACGAGGGGCAGCCGACCGGACAAACAGCGGTCCGGATGTCATAATTTCTTGGCAACGGTGCCAACTGCCACCAGTAAGAAGTTGTTGTTTACTGCTAACTGCTAAAAGGTTGATAGGCTTAACCCTACACCCGCCGATCTCAGAATGGTACATGGTGCATTACCAAACAACGAGTGTGGACCTCGTCAAATTTGTTATGTTCATGCCGAGAAGGTACAGTACTACCCGGTAAGGGGCATAAATATTTGTAGCACGACGCTAGTAGCACCTAGCTCGGATATAGCGCCACATCAATGTCTAGAAGCTTCTATAACGAGTACCCATATTGATTGGTCACACCAGTACCGTCTAACTGCTCAAGGCTAAAGTGTTACGTTTGGAATCTGTTTTGATGCAAATATACTAGTGCCGTACTACGAATACTTCACCCAGGTACGGTAGTAGTTTGGAGTGCTTCGTTGCCGCTGCTCACTGGGCTTGCTACAATCATGGACATTAGCTACTTGCTACCGACTGAAATTCCTTTGGCGTTAATGCTTCGCAATATTTTTGAATAAGGCCATTTCAGCCGATCACTTTTTGGCTTGGTTTGAGGTTGTCTGGCGAGAGTGCAGGGCTTTTCCATTGTCCATGGACCTTATGTTCATATGCTTTCCATCATGCTGAGAGATGCGGGACGGTGGCACTGTTCCTCCATATTCTGACTATCTGGCCTTGAACATGATGGTTCTCCCCCCTTCGTACTGTTTTGCTATGATCGATTGTCCCTTGCTTCCTACAGCTCTACTCTGAGCTGTGCTCGAGTATTGGCTCAAAATATCTGCACCACACACTCTGCTTTCAACCTGGGCTCTCTGGGGACGAACATGGCAAGCAGGACAGAGATTGAAGGCTGCGAAGTGTGATTTTGTGTTATAAAGGATGCCTTTCCTGTTTAGTATCCTTTCTCAACAAGCAGACATCATCTGGGCAACCCAGCCATATACTCTGGTCCATCTTTACGGATAATGTTGTGCACCTCGTAACAGCAGAGCATATCTTTGTCGCCCATTCTTACTGAAATAGAGGTGACGTCAGAAAATTCTTTCAGTTCTTCTGGGACCGACTGCACCTCCTTCTGGATCATTATAGAGGATGAACTAATTTTCAAAGGTCAAACAGGGCAGGTACCTGCTTTAGCCTGAGGTCGATGCAGTCTTTACCTTTCTGATCAACCGGCAGCTGGATGATGATTTGTTGATTTGTTGATCGGGTGGTGTAGTGTGTTGCAAGCACGCGCTATTCCAGGCCCAGAAGAATTTTCGAGAGATACTTTACGATATCATTCGCTGGATGATGCGGGTCGACGTCCAGGAAGGCTGGGCTGGTCATGAATTGCAGAATGTGGTTCCAGGAGTATGGCAGGTCCAGTATTGGACCATCATACATTTGGGCTGCCTCTTCCACTGTGATCACCACTAGTTAGTTAGCTTCGCTATTGGTCTTCTAATGAATTCGATAGTACAAAGCCCTTCTTTTCGGTATTGTAGACTTGTTGCAGAGCAGACTCGTTCCCGCTGTAGGTGCACCAACAAATCTCGGAGTATATACAATCAGTCATCAATCATGGAGAGACGTCGAGTGTTCCACTCAAGCGTTGACCAGCTATGGTACCAAGGTCGTCTTTCGTCTAGCAAATGTGACCTGTCTGGTGCCCTAAATACGCATCGAAATAAAAGTCCGGCAAAGCCCACAGGTAGCACTTTTCAAAGCTTTTTTCGAAGTTACCAAGATTTCAGTGAATAGACGTATTGAATTACTGAGAGCGTCTTCTTGCAGTGTTAGCTGCCCATTATTGCAACTATGGATCGGTTTTCTCTAGCGCAGCAACCACGCACTCCGAGACAACATCAACGAAACATAAAGTAATCCCTTTAGCACGCTCATTTTGAATAGATGTACCAGATTTGTTAGCGGGGAGTGGTGGGCAGAGGTTCAGCCACCTCAGGAGATCCAGATCAGTTTTGTCTGGGCAGGTCCGACGTCTCAGGCCAAACCCATGGCCAACTCCAAGGTCGCATGGTTAGGGAATTGCAGGATTGCACAAGGTGAGCTCTCGAGCCAAACTTTGCCATCTTCCGTCAGACTGAACTATAAATGCCAGCAAATCGTTTTCCGTTCTGTCCTCCAGGAAATCGTTGCTTCGAGCTTGATTCGACTTGTTAAGTAATAGTCGAGTTTGCCAACACTACACTCTGACCCTGATTCTCGCGAGCTCTTTCACCTCGGAGCTGGGCGATGTACCCATCTATCGGAATGAGGATCTACAAATGACGGCATCAGGCGACATGTCAACAATTGACAGCATTGAGGCGGGTTCGGGCAAAGGTCCTGGTAGGCAATGGATCTGTTAACCTGCTGTGCAGAGTACGTAGAGAAGCAAATTGATTGATAGCTAGGGGTGTAGAGAGCGTAGATCTAAGTACAATTGGCTGTACCATACAGCGAAATTAGAAGCGAGATTGCAATATAAATTAACCAATCAAAAGCAGGAGATACGCAGGCATGACGCATATGAAACGCGGCCAATAAGCCCTCTCAGAAGATCAACAGGATCTTTTCACCTCAAATGCCGTGTGAAAGTTGGCCCGCTAGTTAAACTTGCTGCAAGGAGCGCGGAAGCCTTCAAGGCATAGGATGTTTCTAATTTATGACGGCCGGATCAGTGGACTTGAATTGCGCAGGTGAGGACGAGAAACGAACATCACACCCGTTCCTTGTCAATAGGTCACTTAGTGGCATATTCTCAGTTGACTCCGAATCGACTGAGGGGATCATTTTACGGACCACCCCCCCCCCCACCACCAGAATTCCTGTTACTTACATGAAGACCTCACATGCTACTCGCAGAATGGGTTTACATCGGTTGGAGGCAGATTGAGGCCTGCCAATCTGAAGATTCAATGATGAATCCCGCATGTTGAGGACTCACACTGGGAACGCTGAAATTCTTACTTATTTCATGTCACGCGGCCTGTAAATATAGGCCTTGTTACTCCTGTTATTACCTTCGCAGTATACCCTTCCCTTGTCACTGTCAATTAGAGTACGAAGTGAATGATGATGGACAGTAAAGGGACACGAAAGTTAAGTGTTAATAGACGCTGCCTTTTCCGTTGCTTGTTCGGTTGGACTCTCTCCCACAATAGTATTATACACATGGAGTGCAAGATCCACGAACACTCAAGACACGCGGTTTTCATAGCACGTATGAGCCGGAACGTAGCAGATAGATTTATTGAGATATAGATTATATTGCCAGGATCTGCCCGCGTTGCCTTTAGATCTTCATCCATATATTCAGCTCTATGAGAGCACGTCGGAGGCTGGAGCTTAAGTTCTCCTATTCCCGGATTCCACCAAGTTTAGTCCGTTGGTGGGGTTGCGCTGTCAGTGTACCACGTTTGATCACAACCTATATTTTTAGGAGAGCTGTTGTTTTTGGGTAACGTGAAACTCTTGTTGTAAACCGGCAATGCCATTGTTGGAAGATCCCTCTCCCCAAATAAAAAGGAGATGCGCGTGAGATCCAGGGTCTCAATACGTGGAGCCTTGGAGCTGGAGGTTTTTCGGTTGAAAATATTTTGCGAAAACGACGTTGTTTTGTTGGTGCTCGTCTCTGACGTTTTAGACCAGCGGAAGAACCTGCGCCAAGATGCTTGACTACTAGTGCTGGAGAGTGCCTTAAACCTGGATGGCAAGGCTGGCATACTAGAAGAAAGATGTTTGAAGAACTTGGGTAGAGTGGGCACACAGCCCACTATAATACCGATCGCTATCTCTGCAAAACTATATCCTTGTCAGTATGATGAAAATATGACAGAGACCATCTTCCCTACGCCCAGAGTCCCTGTCTGTTGACATCTAACTGGTAAGTCGCATTGCCAGGGGTCGATATGATACTGTAAACGAGGCGTATAATGCTTGCAACACATGCAAATGATCCAAGCCCGAATACAGCAAGGAGGCGAAGTTTCCTTTTCGGAGCCATGTGCAGGCGCCAGATGAGTGGAAGCGGTAAGATGAGTATTAGAAGATCTGACAAAGCATTGATGCTACCAGAAAGGACTCCTGCCTGGTGCCTATCGCGGCAACGCCCAGGAAGAGCCGGGTTCCACTGCTTCTGCCGAGGTGTACACTTTCTAGCCTCAGTTTCTTGGGCCCCTTTTTGGGTGTTATTCAGAGAAGTGGGTATCCTTACTTACCTGGAAAATATAGAGGAACGTGATAATGGTATAGAATACCACGTTGGTCCAGATTAGAATGTGCACAGCATAATGAAAGACATTTCCGCGGCGCGACACGAACAACGTGATGTATTGCAGTAGAATAGAGATTTTGACGAAGACTATGATGGGATCGTATATTATTCTTTCGATCGTCGAGAGCTAAGCGAACACCATCGTCAGTAATGCAGATAAAACCGGAATTTTACTCGGAGCAGCAAGTAAGCCTACATAAGCGACATGGATAACATCACCACCATTTCTGCCAATGACAATTGCAAGCCCAATGTAAGCCAAAAAGGAAAGCTAGTTCAAGGTCCATCAGCCCTCCAGTTCCAAATACTGCGGTAGATTCGGGAGCTTTGTGGGCAATTATCATACCCAACTGAGGACCGAAAAATCTACTCCCACTTAGTCAGAAAAGTCAAGAATTGGTTATGTTATCATTCAAGGGAGACTACTTACAGTCTTCTATCAACATTTTTCTGGTAATACGCACTTTGGTATAGACGCGTGCGCAGACTGCCAAAGTGCTGAGTCCAAAGCCAAGTATTAAGGTAAGGACTTCTCCAATTCGGAGAGAAAGCGGGATGACTATATCGGAAGGCATAATTGCATATAATTGCAACTTGAGTATTAAAGAATAGATCACAACACTCTTGCCAATAGCGATGATGATACGATAACGACAGCAACAACAACGAAGAAGATGACAATAACGATAAGAGGTGGAGACTGATATTCATCATGATGGCGACGTTGGAGAAGGGACCCCAAAGGGACGATCAGATGTTGCTCCTGTGCACTTCCACAGCACGGTTTGTGGCTGGACAGAATGTTGTGTTTGTTCATCTTAGCCAGAATCCTATCTCGGCATGATAACAGAATGGGATCACATTGGCCATGTTTCGTTTCAAACGTGGATTTTTGGCTCAGTGAGCCCTCTGTGCCATTGAAGATTATCCCCAACTGCATGCTGTGAAACATGTGTTAGGTTCAGTTGCTCATATTCACTCGTGGCTCATTACACCATCGTTGTTGCTCTTCCAGATGCAGTTGGAAAGAAAAGTTAAACAACTCTAGCACGGGCAGTACTGAAAGAAATTGGACCTAACTCGTCACTTGTCCTTGGCAGAACTGTTGGAGGCGCTTACTATGTACTACGTAGTACGGCGTACTAAGTACGGCCCGTTCATTTATTGTACTATGTATGGGGCTGAAGGGGAGCATGACGTCCTAGCATACTGCGGGGGGAGGGATAAGTATTCGTAGCACGGTGCTAGTAGCAACTACTACATAGTTCTGATACAGCGCCACATTGATGTCTAAAAGCTTCATAAGTTGACTATCGTCCACAGTGATTGGCCAGAGCAGTACGATTTAACTGCTTAAAGCTTCATCCTCTTGTTTGTGGCCCGTTTCCAGAGAAAGATACTAGCGCTGTGCTACCACGTACGAGTACTTTTGCCTCCCCCCCAGTACTAGAAGTGGCTTCTATTGGCAGTAGCGAGCGAGCGAGGCCGGAGCCCCAGAACTCTGTAGCTCTGGGGGCTGGGTAGTATCTGCTCTTTCTGGCAAGGTAACTTTTGAGTTTGGCGCCACGGCCCTACTACGTAATCAGCCCCCAGGACAGTTCTTTGTGACTAATACAACCCATCTTCCACTCCTCACTCACTCACTTACTCACATACACTGCAATTCCGAGTCTAAAGGGAGTCAACAGATTTTCTCAGCTCTCTTATGGCCGAGACTCTTTCGCCGTTGCATTCCCTTCTGCTAGGAGGGCTAGTTCTGGTGGCCTTATATATAGTGGCACTGTACATCAGCACCGATAAAGCCCGTCAGAAAATCAACAAGCAATACGGCTGTAAAGCTCCTCCGAGATACCCTTCCAAAGACCCTTTCTTCGGAATAGACGCAATCTATGACACTCTTGGCGCCCTCCGCTCCAAAACCTTCTTGAGCCAGAAGAAGACTCACTACGAACGTTACGGAAATACCTTCTCGGCCAAACTTTCAACCTTGTCCCTTATCAATACAATCGAACCCGAGAATATCAAAACCGTCTTATTGACTGCCTTCAGAGATTTTGTTGTAGGTGCACCTAGACGTAATGCATTTTCACCGCTTCTTAAAAACAGTATCCTTGTCTCTGACGGCACACAATGGGAGCACTCACGAGCGTTCCTTCGTCCCAGTTTTTCGAGGAGCAGAGTCGGCGATCTATCAACATTAGAGGTCCACGTTGGAAACCTCATCAGGGCCATACCACGTGATGGATCAACAGTAGATCTAGGCGATCTCTTCCTTCGCTATACTGCTGACGTGACTACTGATTTCATGTTCGGCGAATCAATCCAGTCACTGTCGCAACCAGACTCCTTTCGAGTTGATTTGATGACAGCGTTTCGGGACGCCCAATTGGGGGCGGAGCGGCGTTTCCGTCTAGGGAGCTTTGCAAAATTCGTGCCTCAACCGACTTTTCACCGAGCAGTCGAGAGGGTACATGACTATATGGACGCCCACGTTGACAGAGCCATTGAAAATCGCTGCTTGCAACAACAATCTCGCAACGACGGAGCACAGGATGACAAGAGATACATCTTTCTGCATGAGCTCGCAAAATTAACACGTGATAGACAGATACTCCGGGATGAGCTCTTGGGGATATTTTTTGCAGGGCGTGATACCACGAGTGCTCTCTTGTCGAATCTGTTTTTCGTCCTTGCAAGGAGTCCTCATATTTGGCAGCGGCTTTGCGACGAGGTTGAGCAACTTGGCGGCGCGTACCCAACACTGGATGAGCTGAAGGCCTTGAAGTATCTGGGATTTTGCTTAAATGAGGGTCAGAGTTCATGTACTTCCCCGTATTGCAAATCAATGCTGACATTTGACCAACATAGCACTTCGACTCTATCCTGTAGTTCCGGGAAGTTCACGTGTTGCACTCAAAGATACGGTCCTCCCAAAAGGCGGTGGAATCGATGGAAAGTCTCCCATCCTTGTCCCTGCAGGGACCCTGGTCATATTCCACTTCTTTGCCCTTCATCAACGCAAAGATCTCTGGGGACCTGACGCCTGTGAATTTCGTCCAGAGCGCTGGCAGAATGAGAAGGCTGGATCCTGGGTGAGTCTCACACAACTTCATTCCCTGTCATGCAGGTTGACTAATGTATTTGTATAGAGTTTCTTGCCGTTTGGCGGTGGGCCGAGGAATTGCATTGGCCGTAAGTACCTCAATATCTGAAAGCTACAGTAGTAATACTCATGATTTGTTTTTCTTGAATTCTAGAACAATTTGCCCTTACCGAGGCTTCCTATACCACGGTCCGCCTGGTACAGGAATTTTCAGCTCTGGTCAGCAGAGACTCGGAGCCGTGGAAGGAAAGCATGGGAGCAACGTGTACTTCTGCAAATGGCGTGAAGGTGGCTATGACACCCAGATGATTGTAGACTACAGCTAGTATCTTGTGAGCGCTTCAATAACACTAATACAGCGCTTTCCTGCGGGAAAAGACCCGCGGCATCCTGTCTTACTCTCTGGCTGCGGCGAGTTTCGTAGAGGCAGAGGATGAGGGTCAAGGACATGGGTCTACTCTGAGTGTGGAAAATTAACGTTCTCAATGACGTTTAGAGGATCGCTGGGACGCCAGCCTAGACGCAGAAAGCTAGGAGAATGAGGCCTAGGTTGGAATGGTTCGACACCTATTCTAAGGACGCCAGGTTTTCTTCATCTTCAACAGCTCTATCCGTCAAAGATCGATATTACCTACTCCTCTTCAGTATTCACCAAGTTTCCATAGTAAACCAACCTCACAGAATATTCACCTTTCTGGTGTATAATACACCAATTTGTGATTGATTGACTACGTCGTCGCCAAGCTATATGGCACCATTGAATCAGAGCGCTCGCGACTAACCTCACAATACTTTTTAAACGGCGTTTACCGCGTTTGTTGCAGGTACAAAGCCAGTGACAAATTTGGCGCATTTTACACCAGGAAGATGGATAGCCATTTTAATTACTACGATGGGGGAAGGCATAAGTATTGTTAGGCTGGTGCTAGTAACGACTAGTTCTTGTTACTTCATCATAGTGCTATGATTTGTTGTTACAAAGCTTAACTCACACATATTTAAATGAGTTGTCAGAGGACAAGCTGGGGAACAGGCGGATAGTGGAGAGACTTCGTCAAGTAGATATATTCCACTTAAATATACCAAGCAGATAATACGCATACAGATAACATGCGAAGAGCAGAGCAGAGTGAACAAGTGATCCTTCCCGGATGCATGCTTGCGCCTCACAGACTTATCTGGCCGGTTCTTGCTGAGGAGCGTTGCTGTTGCTAACTCTGGGATTGTTATTATGAAAGTCTGAGCGGCCTCGGGGGGTTTCTCGCATAGTTGACGAATCATGGTACGGAACTAGGGCGACTCATCGCACGACTCCCCTACGGATTCAGAGTGCAGCTTTCTACATACCTCTGGCAGATCCTGCTGTGTTGATCATCGCGTCTGAAGCAATGAAATGGACGAGCTTCTGAAGTAGCACGAGCAGCTCTGCTTGAGCGCTTGTTAACTGACCGTCAGCCGATGCACTTTTGGAATTGGAGTCGTTGGACTCCATCACCTCTCCATAAAAACGATCTAACTCAATTGGATCGGAACTGGAAGATGCCGACTTGGTAGGAACGAGGCGAAGCAGCATCAAACCCCTGGTATCAAGTCGACGTAGATCGTCAAATGCTCAGTATTATTATCAGTCTTCCGCACTGACTGACATGTCTTGCACTGGTTCTCAGTGTAGGCAGCTATCCTATCATGCCACTGTTTGGCAAGTCCAAAAAGCGCAGGTCTGATTCGGAGCCTCGCAAACCATCGTCAAGCTCGCCAATATTTAAACTCACAGATTTCTCGTCTCCACAACCTTCATACTCTACTCCTGTCTATCAGTCGTCGCAGCTTGTTCCTACGCGGTCGCCAGCATGGCAACCTCCTCTTTCCTCTCCTCCCCAATGCTTTGTTCCTCAACCCAACACACAGGTGGTCCCACCTCAATATTTCCCTGCGCCTGCGCCTGCGCCTACGCCCGCCCATTCCTTGTCCCCTCCTCTTCCTCGAAATCTATACCCTGTCCAACCATTGATGCAGATGTATGGTCACCAGACATACGGCCAACAGAATAAGGGGAGCTCATGCCAGAATCTATCGAATACTATTGCGAGACCTTGTCAAGTAGTCAATGCGACTGTCAATCGTACCACTGAGTATCTAAACCGAGGAGCAGCGCTCTGCGACCAGGTGGCAAGCAAGTTCAACGATGTCATTAGTCTCATGGATGAGGAGACGTTTGTAGGCAACGAACAAGATCTTCAACTGACCTACTACCAACCACCGCCTTCGTCTCCGCGTCAGCTTGTTGCTCAGCCTATGACTCCTGGAGGACCTAGCAGAGCATTGATTCCTGCTCGAAAACCTGTTCCAACAAAATCCAACGAGTGTCCGATCACGCCAAAAGCACTCACTACGACCAATGTCTTTGCGAAGGCAGCCATGTATGCGAACTCTCGTCTGCCGTCAGATCTGCCGCCGTTTCGAGTCTACATACCTACTTGGCCTTTGATTTGTCTCGCCGCCCAATACTCGTTGAACGCATACCGAACGCCGCTCGGAGCAGAGAGGGACGCATTTGTCGGGGCGGATTGGCGAGTAGGCACCAAAGCTATGGTGATCAAATCTGTACCAATTGATGACATGAATACAGTCGTCTTTGCCATACGAGGGACGCAAACATTCATGGACTGGGCTGTCAATTTGAATACTGCTACCGTCTCACCGTCTGGATTTTTAGACGATCCTGGAAATCTTTGCCACGCAGGTTTTCTCGACGTTGCGCGAAAAATGATAAAGCCTGTGGCTTTGAGGTTAAAGCAATTGCTTGAAGAGAATCCAAGTCGTGCGGCCTGTTCGCTTATCATCACGGGTCATTCGGCTGGAGGAGCAGTTGCCAGCTTGCTATTCAGCCATATGCTGAACACATCCACCAAGAGTGAGCTCAACATATTGACTGGCTCTTTCAAACGCGTACACTGCGTGATCTTTGGTGCTCCTCCCGTCAGCCTTCTTCCTTTGTCGAAACCTGCAGCTCAGGAAAGAAGGTTCGGGAAAAATCAGTTCTTGAGCTTCATCAACGAGGGTGATCCAGTCACTCGGGCGGACAAGGCATACATTCGCTCGTTACTGGAGCTTTATGCAAGCCCTGCGCCCAAGGCTGTCAGCTATGGCCCCGCCGCATCGAATCATAAGCTGACATCGACCTCAAAAGTGAACGTGACCTCGAGTTTCTGGAACAACAAATCAAGCAAGAGACCCAAATTGCCGAAGCGACCTGCTACTGCGCCTGTGATAGACCGACCAATTTCGAATGTGACATGGAATGTGCCACTTACCACGCTTTCAAACGCCGGCCGACTGGTGTTGTTGCGAACGCCATCGAAAGGACGCAATGAGGACGTGAAAGCGTATATCACCGCAGACGATCAATTACGAGGTGTGGTTTTCGGCGATCCGCTCATGCACCAGATGAAGTTATACTGCCGCAGGGTTGAGATACTCGCGACCAAAGCAGCCACCGGACGCCTGATTACCTGATGGTGGCGTTTTTCTCCCCTTTTCTGTCTGACATTTTGATCTTATACCCCTTGTTTTCTGCAACAGCTTGTAAAGCTGGATGATATTATGAAGTCTCGTGAAGCCTGCGCAGCGAACAGGATTGAGGTTTGAAGGATGTTGGATTTCCTCTCTATACGATCTACATAGCACGGTGTTACGGCATGGGTGGTGGACAACCACGAATCAACATCTGTCAGGATAGTACATTTCTCACCAACTGATTATATACCCCGTGCCTGCTCGACACCTATGTGATATTCAGATACACGGAGCTCGGTCTGATGTCTTTAGTTCTTCTCGCCAGGTCGATTTCTGTCTCCTGACGTTACGGTGTGCAGCGTTGTATGACATGGCCAGGCCTTCGACAGCGGGTCTGTGCTTAACAAGCTTGAGATAGCTGGTGCGAGCGAGCTGCGAAGTAGGCATCTTGATTCGTGGTCCACTCTTCCGCAACGTGAGTCTGCTAAAGCTGCACCAGATGCCCAAAATAGCAACCTCCCCTCTGGAGCATGGCAGATTGTACACGCGATCCTGTGATCTTGTGAGAAGCTGTTCCACCGGCTAGAAGAGAGACAGCCAGGTCGAGATGCTAGCTACTGGTCAGGTGGTCACTTTGACTCACAGCGCAAGCTGGTCATGCTAGTCGAGGCACAAGCCACATCACTGCATGGGTCTAAAGCGAGGCGGATTGGACGTCCTCGAGAAGCGGGCCACAGAAGAGACCGATTAGCTATGGAAGTTTCCATCGCCAGGCACCGCCAGAAGCCTCCAACAAAGTTCTCAAAAGTTAGTTAAGCTTGAGAAGCTGCAGAATGGATGGGAGATTAAAGCTTCTGCAGCCAAGACTCACTGATCCCGATTGGGCCACTTTTCGCTCCCAACCCTACTGTGATTGGGAAGTCGTCTCGTATTTATGGTTGTTTCTAGGGTTCACCTCATTTGGACCCCAATACTACCCCATACTATCTTATCACTAGAACCGTGTCGTCGCGACACTATGGGAAATTGATCCCTGGAAATCACTATCGAGGAATTCACGATGCTTGAGGCTCAGCCTCCCGTTGACAGCGCGCAAATCCGCGACCGCCTTCGTATATCCCCCCCTCCACCCCCTTTCTCATTTCTCATTTCTTGTTGTCGTTCTTTCCTTCGGCCTTTCGAAGCACCTCTCGCTCTCGCTCTCTTCTGTGGCCCTATCCCCTAATCTTCACAAGTCATGATGCATTTCTCAACTACGCTTCTCTTCTCCCTCTCTCTCGCTCTTGCAACAAGCGTTCTTGCAGACTTGGACACGGAATCCTCGCCATTGGGTCTCAGGACCAAACCAGTGAAGACTTCTAAGCGAGCTGTGTCATCGTTCCTCGACAGGCGCGAGACCTGCCGGGGCTCATGCCAGTCCTGCTTTGGGGCCAGTTCTAGAGAATGTCCAGGTAGCGATTATTGGTGCTATGACTCAGACGAAGGTTCCGCTGCAGAACTATGCTCCAGTGGTGGATCAACCCCGTCTACAACAACAACATCTGCCAGCGCGGAGATTACCAATACCTGCTATAGTGGAGCTTCATGTATATCATGCTTTGGCGCTTTCTCAAGAGATTGCCCTGCCGGATCTGATTATGATTGTTATGACATAGACGAGCACTCACAGGCCGAGGGATGCAGTGCAGGTGACGGCACTGATAGTAGCGCTAGCGCATCAGCGCCTTCTCCTTCAGCTAGCCGAAGCGCAGACTCCTGCAGAGAAACATACGGCGGTGGAAACATTCCCTGCGGGCAAGGTAATTGTTATGATCCTACTGCGGGCGAGACCTGCTGCGGCGATGGCGGTACGTTCGACCCTTTCCCTGTTCCAAGTCCATGACTCTTGCTAGATCCCCATCACTAACAATTCAACTGTTTTCCAGGTCATTGCAAAGCCGGCACCACATGCGTGCTCCGAGGCAGCGTGTATAAATGCGCCGAAGATGGCACCGGATCTTCCTCACCCAGCCTCACCGCTGGCAGCCGCTCCTCACGTACTGCCTCCGGCATCCTCAACACGAATACTGCAGTCGGACCGATCGGAGACGGTTCATCAGACCCAACAAGTTCAAGCGTACCAAGACCCTCCAGGACCACGTCGTCACGTTCTTCAACAATCACGGAGCCTGCCGCCGCGGCGACCACGAGCACGAACTCGGTGTTTGGTGCCGCTCCAGCGTTGATGGGTAGGGACACGGGTGCCGTTGCTGCACTGGCTGCGGGGTTGCTGGGATTGGTCGGAGTGCTATGATCGTGTAGCCGAGGGAATGCGTGTTTTCTTTTTAACATGTCAACTGGTTATTCCCCGCTTAGTCATGCATGATTTTGATCTCCTGCCTAACGAATCGAAGCTGTTGGAGAATGGACTTCCTGATACGCATAAAGAAAACCCTAATTCGATCGCCAAAGACAACCTTGTCTGCTCTTTTTTTCACCCCTTTTTGGCAATCTCTCTCCCCCCTACAACTTCAACGCATTTTCCAGATTTGCGACCGGACTAACACCTGTTGACCTTGCAAATGTACCAAAGCACTTACTCCACCGAACATGACTCCAGCCACCTCAACCACGATGACAGTATGAGGATATCAACACCCTTGCGCTCGTGAGTTCGAAAGCAGCATTCCCCGGGACGAAATGAGACCGCGCGCCTCCCTCAAGTCCCTTGAAGCCGGCCTAGTTATTTGCGGAATCCATCCACGGCCTACCTAATTAGGGTCGCAAACCCCGGAGTTCTCTTGATGGCGAAGAGCCCCCTCCTATGGCTAATGGATAACACAGATCGATGAGATGACCGTATGTTCTCTCTGCCACGGTTCGACAACCAAAGACCATTGTAACAACCCAGAACCAGCGGGCTGGTCATTGCCACTGCCTACCATCCTTCAAGGTGATTGGAAATTGGGGCAAAGGGCCAAGGCCAAGACTGCTACGGAATCACTTTCCACACACACAGGGAGTACCAACCCATTTTCTGTTCGCGTTTTGCCCACCCTGTTTGGCGGCTTCCGCACTTCCCGATCTGCTGCGGCTGTGCTACCGCTCGCCTGATGTGGTTAGGGAGGCTGCTCTAGTTGCTGGCCCAACCCGGCCCGATCGGCCCATGTAGCAGCCTAACTATTTAAGCTATCACGCTAAATCCCGGCAACGCTATCTCAATTCGGAAGGAGACCCATTCAGTGACACCGGGGATACTGCAGTTTACATTAGGGCTAATTGCGTATTTAAGTGTGGTTCGAAACCCACAGGCGCTGTCCTTTTGGCGGGAGTGGTTGATGTACCCCTTTTCTGAGCGTAGAGCTTGACAAATCAAGAGCCCATTCAGTGACACAGAGGATAATGGTATCAAGTCTTTCTCTATTTCTTTTGTGGAGATTGCTCTACGCCTGACGTCGATCAAACATCAAGCAGCCAATCACTGCACAGTCCAAGCACAGGATACGTATCGTGCTTGCTCTTTCACATGGAGGAGTTGCAAATCTCTTCGGCGCAAAAGCGCACTTAGAGCGTCGTCCGTGCTGATCATCTGTATCGTTGCGAGGTCCAGGAATTTGCAATGGATACGATCTTCAGTCTTGATGATTTTGTGCCTGTCAAAATTTTCAAGGGCAAGCAGGGCTGCAGGCATGACAATTACTCGGATTTCGTGCATCTGTGGTTGAAAGAACACCACGCACATGGAGTCCTTTGGCGTATCAGGAGGCGGTGTTTCGGCAGAGTCGATTGACGGAACATCTACATCCGTAGACCCAATACGATTTTGGTGGTCCAGAAGAGTAATTCTCCACCAAGTTAGACATTCCGAGTTGTGTCCAGTTGAGCTCGAGATGACAATATCTCGTGGACCATCCGGTACAATTGCCCCAGGAAGGATCAGTCCAGGATACCTGACGGTCAGTCCAGATGCATCCCTGCGAGCGGGACTGGAGTCTGTAATCGGCGCTCTCATCCGACTCTGCGCTTCATTGGCGAATTCAGTAACCGCCCATCCCCAGCCACGTTCATGCATTCGCGGCCCAGGAACAAACAGCACACCTTGTGGAAGCACTTCTTGCTGTTCGAGAAGTAGCCGCATACGTCGGTTCACCGGTTCAGACCAGAGATCCGAAGTATCCCAGCCAAGCAGGTTTGCAAGACAGATATACAGGTCCTCAGTTCTGCTGGGTGTACGATATCTACATGCATCGAAAGCAAGCATGATGCGGACGCACCGCCCCTTAACCAATTGTTGATATGCATCCTTATAAACAGTGGTTTTGGTCGAAATGCCCACCATTTTTCTCTCCGGTCCCACAAATATCTCATCTCTCATTGAGCGCATCCTCCAAAAAGTCTGACGGGCATCTGCCATTGGCGTGCCGAATACATTCTCGAATTCACGAGCAAGCTCAGGCTGGAATTTGAAACCCAGCTCCTTGTAACCTTTCTCGAGGTTAAGCGTGGCGTTCCTGAACTTGATATGCAGGCGATTCCCGAGAACACCTTCATGTAACGTCCAGAGTCGCCGCATCCATCCACTTAATGAAATTCGCATGAATGCCTCGGATATGTCGAGCGGGTCAACGCTCTGAAGCTCGGTGTCAAGCACCAGGACTTGGTAAGCATTCATATACACGTCCTTCATCTGGCAGATTGCACGATCCCGTGCGTTTGCGTGATGTTGTCTGACTGGGACGCAGAGCGTGTCTAGCCAGAAGCGCATGGAGACGTTTCTGTACCTTCGAGTCAGGGTACTTATTCGCAATCTGTTGATCAGGGTCTACAAGCTTGCCTGGTCGCGTAACTCGTCCAAGAGCTGCCTCATTCTCAGGAGTTGACACCTGGGCAGTGTGTTACGATCTGTGTTCCCTAATCCATCAGCCCAGACGTGGGAGATGGCAATGTATTCCACGCCTGCTTTATAAGGCTCAACGCTTACCACCACGGCATCTGCTCGCTCATCTACAATGATTGATAAGAGGGGGATCTTGCCAGACATTATGATTCGAACGACTTCAGCAATCTGTGGGCCCAAAAATGAGCAGGCGCAATGCTCGTCGAGGTGCTTAGTGCGATATCTTGACGGATCCACCTGAAAAGCCAAGCATTTCTGCTTCGTACAACTGCTATGATCCCTAGTGGTGCCTGCCCTTCTCATAAGGCTAATGTAGTACAAGGAGGATGGCGAGTACTGTTCCACCACTCTTGAGATATCGCTAGAGCACCAATTGTTGCTAGCCATTCGAGCAACGACCCAGCATGCGCCGGGAAACCGTAGATTTCTAAAGACGACCGCCTCGTATTTTCTGACTGCCAAGAATAAGCAAGCCGCAAACGCCGACGATAGACTCTGCCCTAAAGCTCTGAGCGAGAAGTCGACTTCAGGTGAAAGTGGCCAGACTACACGAGCGTGATCCTCGCCGCCCTCACAGTCCGCCAGGCAGCAGAAGGCGGACAGCCGCTCTAAGCAATTATCTGCCTTGCGAATCAGGCTCCACGCTCGCTCAGCATCGTCTCTGCATAGTTGACCAAGATATGCGAGACGATGAAGAAGCTGCCCACGGAGAAGGGTAGTCGTGATGCGCCCATAAGCGCTCGTCGGATGGGGTTCAACGTAGACACTTTTGACAGCGGCTTCACCAAGCGTCTCCCACAATACACCGAAGTACAGCCAGTCTTGGATGAAGGCTTCAGTCGCACGAGCATCCTTCTGAGAGAAGTCGCCAGCGGCGAGAAGTGCGCAATCCCAACCTCGGCGGCGGGGGTAGGTGTTGAAATCAAGTTGATCGTACGCGACACTGCTCAGGCATGGCACGACCATAAAGGGGTACGCTGGATCTGAAGGGATTGAAATGTGGTCCATCAGCAACAAACGAGTTACTTACCATCTCTGACCGCTAAGAGGCTTTTTGAATAACACAATTAAGACATCTTTGTGCGGGTGGTGTACTTGTCAAGGATCAACAGCAGGGAGGACTTGCAGATGTGCACTGAAGGCTAATGGTTGATAACTAATGAAGCAAATAGGTGATGGAGGTGAATAATAAAGAAAGAAAAAAAGAAAAATCAGAAATCAGTCAGACGCAAGACACGTGCGTAGATTATGTACATTCTATGTGTCTTAGTAGAAGAGTAAGTCATATGTTAAGACAGAAACGTAGTTTTTTTGATATATAAATTACGTCTTCTATTTTAGATTTCTTTAATTTAACAACTATAGAGAACTATATAATAAAAATAAAATAATATGATAATCTATTAATATTATTTAAATGAATTTGCTTAATCAAATATCTTAAAACTAGTTATTATCTTTATTTACCTGAAACGAGAAGGCGTGAGGAGTGGCGTGGCTGTTTATTCCGCCAGCTTCGGGTAAGTAACAGCTCAGCGGAGGAAGCGGTTACAAGACTTTGAACGCGGATATAAGGGTCTGCTCTACATCGTGAGTCTCAGAGGTTAGGTAGACGCGAAGAGGAGAGGACTGCCCGAGAGGCATTGAGAGCTGTTATCCGTCAAACGTATCTGTCAAGTGACGGGCATGTTACAGCACTTGTGACTATCCGTGGCAAAAGGATGGCGGGTGACGACGCTAAGATTGCAAGGATAGCGTGGAGGATGAACCTAGGACTCTGTTGACGCTGTTCTGGATTCTTCTAGATTTCAGCTAAGAAGAGGACCATTGTCGATGAAGCTCTCAGTAGGCATGAATCCTGTCTCACCAAAGCAAACACGTGGCTGAATGTTTTATGTGCATTTGTGGTCCTATCACTCAGCATAAGACTTGCTTTTGGCAAAGCAGTAGAGCATAGCTTCCAACTACTTTATGCTCCACGCGCAGAACTATGCCCTGTTCAATTCCACCCGACCCCACTGGTGCTGCAATGCGTTGGGGACAGAAGAAGCCTGAGCCCCAGATCTCATTACGTATGGTACTCTGGATTATTTCACGGATGATTCTCCTCCTCGACATCATCCACCCTAATTTCAGCAACGGGAAGTTCTCCTGTCTCGTCTAGAAGTGGCGGCGGCGCACTTTCCCTCATCCCCCTATGCTCGGACGACGCCAAGATGGGAGCATCGACAAAATCTTCGTCCCGATCGCTCAATTCGATTGAGCTGCGATCACCGCCCTCTGCTTGGGTGCTGGCATTGTCATCCGCAGCGAACAGAGCTTCTTCCTGTGTGTAAAAGCCATTTGCATCGCCATCCAAACTCGATGGCGGGACTGCAGTCATTTGAGAATGTGGTGCACCCATACTACCAAGATGGGAGAAACTCCATGATGGCTGCTCCATACTAGGGCCATACATGGGCACATCGCCGTCCTGCATGCTGATTCCCTCATCCGGGGCGATCTCGGTGTATTCGGGTAGCCCATCATCCTCCATCTGGTTGGTCGTCCCCTTCATGTCGACTTCTTGAGACATCCCTTGACGCTGTGCCAGACCACCACCCCCCATGTGGCGAGTTACTCCGGCTTCGGTTGAATGGAAAGCGCTCGACGACCCATTGAGGGAGGAGACGCCGAGCAGACCTTCCCCCTGGGCCAATGGTGATGGATCTCGGGAGCCCAAGGCTGGGTCAGCTCCAGCCTCATGGGATCGTGTTGTCGTGACCACTTCCGCAAGCAGAGGCCCGCCTAAAGGGTGATCTGCTCGGCGACGGTAAAAGAGGAGGTAGGCAGCGGGCGTGACGATGGATGACCGAGAGCCTCGACTTGCAACATGAGAATCTATCATGGGTCAGCCAAGTACCAAAAGGGACGATAAGAATCCACACTAACCGTTATAGTCGTACCATTCCTTGTTGAAGAAGTTCTGCGCAACTGCAGTGTAATGTCCGCCGCCTAAGCCACCATAATGATTGTCGACTGCTATCAGATCGTAAACCATGGACTTCTCTTCATCATTGGAGATGACACGGTCAGCGAGATCAAGTCCCTCGACTGGATAGTCGACATGCAACTCCAGCTTGTCTCTGAAGTTACGGTTGGAGGAAAAGCGTTTGAGATGCATGACAAGGATGTCGGGCACTTTCCACAGCTCAAACTTCTTGTTTGCCTGCCGATGCTCCTTGCACCTCGGACAGTACCAAGAATTGTTTTCGGACAGAGTTTCCATCTTTCCAAACTCGTCAAGGCATTCATCGAGGGTGACTCCATTCTTTCTTCGTGCTTGGCGCTGCGCTCTCTTTGCCGCCAATTCTTCATCTGGCCATGTATCGATATGCTTCCATGTACCGACACCTCGCATCTCATCGCCATCATCGTCACTTTCAAACAATGTTTTGCATACCTCATAATTCCAGTCTAATACGAGTGCTTCCCCAGGTCTCACTAACCAGCCTTCGTCGTCAGGTGGAGGGGTGACTGCACCATTAGTAGCAAGCCTCCGGCCCTTTTTCGAATAGGTCTTCTTGCTCTTCCGGTGGAAATTATGTCTTGCACTTGAGATTATCCTTTGTGTTGATGGAAGCTCCGAGTCGGACTCTGATTCGGAGGCAATTTGATCAGAACGGCCGTCAGAATCGTCGGTCCTGAACCTACCAGGGAGAGCTTCTTCGCTACTCGTCGATCCACTGCCAGCCTCATACTTCGCTTTCCGCCGCTCGCGTCGTACTAACCGATCAGAGATACTGACGAGTTCTTTGCCTTCATCTAGATTATTCCACCCTAGCGGGATGGCTTCTGTGTCATTCTTGTAGATCTTCATTTCGAACATATTCTGTAATTTCCCAGGGATGAAGCTGCCGGATTTCAGAACGGATGGCACATTGGACTGGAAGTTCTCAACAGATGGCCGAGCAGCATCGCCAGCTTCCTTCATTGACACATCCACCAATCCATCTTCGCCTTCGACGGACTCGACCTTGACATGGGAATCAGAGCTAGTCGTATCGTCATCATTCATGATAACTGTATCGGAATCTTCCGGCGTGGCCATGCTCGCAATATGATCCCCATTGTCTTTGAGTATTGGCAAAGTGGTCATATTTGCAACATTGCCTAAAACTTTTCGAAGGATTTCATCATAAGATTTGGCTTCGTGGCGACTGAGGATGATGTAAGAAGGAGAGCCGAAAAAACCACCGCGGTGTGAGCCACCATTTTTGGGTACTCTGTGAAATACAGGAATAAGGACTTTGTCAGCCCCTGGTGTGTCAAGGTCTGGAATTTCGCCTTTTGTGTTGCTGTTGTTGGACAATGACAAAGTGCTGCTCTTCTTCTGTTTGTTAGGATCGTAATTGGTAGGCACATCCTCCACTTCGTAGATTGCCACCTGATCGGCACCTTGGATGTTGTTGTCAGCGATGGTGGTAATGTTGTCGAACATTTTGAAAAATTTGTGTTTGTAGATTTCGGCCCCAACGAGTTTGACAGCATCCACGCCCATTCGCTTTGCAACGTACTCTTTCAGAGCACTGAAGCTGGCATTCTTGTCAATGTCCACGTCCACTTGGATTGGTCGTCCTCGAAGTGGAAAGTAGATGATCTGCTTACTCCAGTTGACTTCGATAGGTAGCTGCAGGGTCAAGTTCGTGAACGGATCGAAGATTATCGATACTTTGTCACAGACGGGGCAAATTACGGTTGACTTGTACATGCCGGCAAAGAGATCAGAGATCACTGAATCATTGCGGGCTTTGTAAATCTCCCACGATTTATCGGCCAACTCCTTGAGTGCAATTGGATTCTGTACCATCTCATCGGTCGAGTCGGGTTTCTCAATATAAGGTTTGTTCTTGATTCGGTTGAGATCTTCCTGGAGGCCATCAAGGAGAAAGAGCAAGAACTCTTGCGAGTCCTGCTGACCATAGCCAGAGAAGCTAGGAGCGTACCTAGCAATGACGCGCTTGAACTGTGTTGGAGAAAAGGTGCCTGTTGACGTGTCTGAATAGATCTGACTTAGAAGATTCGCGTAAGCTTTTGCGACTTCTCCACCATATCCCAACGGATTGCTGGGGTTCAGATCTGGTTTGTAACGATCATCTAATTGAGTCAGCCAGCAAGTCGTCTGTTCAGATTCAAAAGCATACTTAGAAAATAGAGTGTTAGCTCCTCAACACTTCGAATGCATTGCAAAGCAGAGTTCATGTAGCAAGTATTTCCCAGATTGCCTAGGCCGGTGATGCCTCGCACCTTACCATCCCGTCGCTGTCGACCTCGTGTGATCATACCCGGTACGGGACTTGATCTTCCACTCGTTGCACCCGCTTTGGCCATCGCTTTATCAGCTACTGATCCACTTTTTGCCAATTGTGATCGCGCGACCTGAGCTCTCAAACTGTCCGATACCCATTCTCCACCCGCAGGACCTCCGGTCTGCTCCTCAAGAACAATGACTTCATCGCGGCTTAAACCAGCCAGTAATATACTGGAGTGGCCATTGTAATTCTCATTCATTGTTTGGTCTTTGACATCCACAAGCTCCCTGTCAGAACCACGATCAAGTGTCAAGAACGTGTTGACATCCAGCACCATACGGTCGCCGGCACTGGCCACGATATCGGCCCCTGGGGCGGGAGAAGCACTGCGTGATGCCATGGGAGTCATGACCCCTGATCCAGACGAGCTCTTGAGCCCACCAAGTACTTTCCAAACTCGAACCTTGGTGCTCAAATCAATTCCTACTAGTGTTTTTGCCTTCTTCAACCAATTGTTGAAAGACATATGTCTGCTTGCAAGGAATTTGACTGGGGGTAAGTCCTTCTCCTTTAAGGTTTGACTGGAGATGGCATGAGAGCTCGGTAGTTTCAAGATAGAGAAGATGGGTGGATTCAGCTCGTATTGACAATTCTCGACCTCTCCAGTGCTTGTGTTATGCACGTAGCGAGTGATAATCGGTGAGTTGGGAAGAATTCCGTACCATCTGGTGATTAAATCCCATGCCTCCTCAGGAAGTATGAAATAATCTTCCTCCAGCTGCAGCCCTGGCTTGAGTGGTACGTATGGATCCCCATTCTCGTCTTCAAAGTGGCCGGATCCTTCAATGACTAATGCCAAATCTGAGTTGTCCACTGGGCCGATTTCTCCTTCAGTCGCTGCCTTGTCTGTCTTGATAGCTTCAGTCACCACAGAACTACGTGCTCGTACACGGTTGAGCCATCTTGCTGATACAGCATAACCCTTTGCCTTGTCTTGCAATGGTTTCCGTGCTAATAAGCTTACTTTTGCTACTTGTTCGTCGATGGGGGGTATATCAGCGGAGGAATTTGTAGCGGGCTTTAGAGTCGCCGCTGTAGACACGACTGAGGAAGTGGGTATTGCTTGGCCAGAGACGGCAGCGGCACCATCTTCAGATGGGATCTGAGACAATGCCTTAGGGTTGCTGTGGTGGGCAGTGACTTCGAACAAGGGTATGTTCTCATGTCGAGACCCTGTGTCCTGCTGCTTGGCCTTTGGTGTCGCATCTGTCATTGGTTCGGGTGTCTCGCCAGGAAGTGAGGATTTGTCCATATCAATATCTGATTTATGATCTTCACGCTCTTGAGCCCCCATCTCGGATGCAGGACGCTTGACAGCAGGTGACGAAGATCTCAGAGGTCGATCACTCTCATATCTTGCTATAGCACGCTCATCTGAGGTAATATCTTCGGATTCTGTGGCTGCTTGATCCGACCTTGACATGTCCCAGGCGGGACTTTGGTCTAAAGTAAGATTCGCGTAAGCTTCACTCGGCGAGCTAGGAGTCATGGATTCGTATTCAGCAGCTATAGATTTGCGTCTCAACCGTTTTGACGGAGCAGGTTTTACTTCGTCATGCAAGTGCGGCGGCAGGAACTTCGGTGGAGAGGGCGGTAGTAACAGCAATGAACTGTGAGGGGATAGGGAAGGTGGAGATGATGGTGAAAGCCGGTGGCTGTGACAAACTTTTTGGTGACCCGAATTTACTCTGCCTGCAGAATGATTAGATACAGTCTTCGACTCTGTTGTCTTGCGTTTCTTTATAGAAGACGTGGTGAAGAAGAGCTGGCCACAAATCGTGGCAGCTCGTCCGCAGCCTGGGATCGTGGGTCGAAAATGCCACAGGCCTAGCCACAACCGCCCCAAGTAAATCCAGGCAGGCTGAATCAAGGTACGTAAGTCAGGCCTGTCATCACTCCATGAATACTCCACAGGTTTGAGGCGAAGATGACCTTCTAGAGGCGTTTAGCTGTCATATTCGGTATCATGAAATATTTCTATGATTGTTGTGACGCAGCAAGCCGGGGTGTTTAGCCTGTTCGCATGTCAGTCGTGAACAATTCGGTCGTAACACACCACACGCTGATCAAATTGCCGCGATGCGTAATTACTTGCCTCCACATCTCCTCCTGCCTTTTTATGTGTGCTACCGGTATTACTAGGCGCAAGGTGTCGAAGCAGCTTCACAAGCGAATCAACCATGTTAAAAACATGATAGAGAATTTGTCCCACAAGGAATGCAGCGGACTGCCACCTGTGTTGTCTCGTGAACGATTAAAGCTACAATACTATCTGGCTACGATCTTGTCGACTTCCTCTCGAGCTTCCGTCCAAGTCTCTAGATTCTTCCTCGCCCAGTCAATATGACATCTTGCGTAAGCAATCTACAGAGGTCAGCAGGGGGATAAGTAAGGAGCGGAGGGTATTAAAAAGCCTACCATGTACCGCTGCAGGTCGTCTTCTTTCTCTTTTTGAAACCTTTTCAGGTCTTTCAAAACGCCGGCGCTAGCATCCTTGACATCCTTAGCAGACACGTCCAGAGCTTGTTCGAGTTGCACGAGGCTTTCTTTCGTCTTTCCGATCTGATCTCTCCGTGTCCTCTCTGGGTCCACATCCACGAATCCATGGACTGCATGACTGATTCTACCAAAGATCTTGTTGGTCACAAAATTCCCACTCTGGGTCTTTCGGTGCAACGGAGGCGAAGAGGAGGGCGATCCATCGTGGGTAGGTGGGAAATCGGAGTCGATTGAAGCAGCGTCCTCATTACTTCCTTCTCGGCGGCCTTGAGCTTGTCGTTCTGGATTACTTCTGGCAGAGGCAGAGGAGGTAGATCGCTTGGGTGGGCTTTGGGCTATCATGCTGTTGCTCAAGTATCGGTCAATCCGCTTTGCCTCCAGTTCACTCCTCTCCAAGGAATCCAGCAATGTCTTCTTCTTTTCTAGCTCGTCTCTTGTCATTTCCTGTTGAACCCGTTTCAACACGCGATAGCGCAATACGCTACGCACAACCCCTGCAAATTGGGCACTTTCACGCATTGGTTCAGCAAAGCCAGCGCCAAGATTCGCGGATAGCTCCTCTGTGTCTAGGTAAGTTGTATCCACTGCCTGGCCGATCCTCTCAATTGCTGCAGCTACCGTGGGAGACGATTCTGACAAGGCGAAACCATTGTACCTTGCTCCGAGCTCTGCCAAATCCGTGGACAGTTTGGCATAATGTTCAAGAGTTCGTCTGTTGACCCTTTCGATGTTGCCCTGCAGTAACATTTCCAGTTCTCGAGTCGAGGCTTCAAAGTTGATGAAATAAGGGTCAAGCTCTTGCTCACTAAGGTGCTGTGATGTGGGTGGAAATCGACCAAAAACTTGTGGTCCAGGTATGGAGTGAGCAGCTGCAGAGGGCATGGCAGAATAACTCGGAGGAGATGAGGGCGTGCCCGTCTCTGATACGGCAGAGGCGGACTTCAACTTCGCGGAAGAGGACGGAACAGGGAGCCAGCTATGAGCAGGACTTGGATTTGCTGGATCCAGGGGCGGAGCCTTCAGGTTACTCTTGGGAATCGAGGACACAGGAGGAGAGTGTAGAACTTCGCTCTGAATTACGGTCAGCCCACTAGATGTTCAAGAATCATGAGGCGTCAATACCCAGCTTGAGTTCGGGTCTAGGAACCTCCACCATACCCCGTCTTCAACCACCTCCTTCATCTTTCGACACCTGTTCAGGAATACACTAAGCATTCTTTTGCGTAGGTCTATTATGCTGGTATCTTCTTTGGCTTTCCGTGGCTTCGCCGCATAATCCGCCATTGAGTGCTTCTCGGGTATTGGAGGTATGATGAGAGTTGGGTGTAGGTTGACAAGGGCCGCTCGGAGGGAGCTGAATTCGGAATACCGCCGTTGTACATCAATGTCCTATACCGGGTCAGCATAACGAGCGGCCACAACATTGCCAGATTCACTCCTGTCCGTATCCTATAGACAATATACCCGCCATCCGAGCTCTTTCCTGCATCTACAATGATGATTTCGAGCTCTGGGTTCTCGTATAGCAGCTGCTGTATCCTGCTGTCGTATGCGCCTTGCTTCCGAAGGTAGCTTTGAGTCTGGCTTTTCGAGTACTCCGCCTCCTCATCGTCGCTTAGGTCTCTTGGATGCGATAGAAATTCCGGCGGCTCATTTTCTGGGGATTGCGATGGAGGTGAACTCGTTTGTTGGTCATGGTCTTAGGTACGATTAGCTCCAGGGATAAGCAGGCTGAACCAATGCTTGAAGGCTCACAAGATGTGTCGAGGACTGGATTGGTTGAATCTGGGTTGAACGATCCATATGGATTATTGTCCTCATCGTCCTGCCACATTTCTGCCTATGATTGCTATATTGGCCGCTCGTTCATACAACGGCGCGCTTGTGTATATCTCCAAAATGGTGTCCCGGTCGTGATTGCGTTGGTGCTTAGGCACAGCATGTAGCACATAACTTACGTCAACGTAGAAGCTTGGTTCAATTCATACTGTAACCAATTGACCGAGTACTTCAATAATCTTTGTCTACTCGTCTGCAACTTAGAAATCGTTCTGGAAACCTAAAAGTACATGTATTGCACACGCTATACATGGATTATCTCACTATCACCCTTGATTTAGGTTTGTCACCAGACAGGCACGACGACTCTTAGAGCCATCAATGATGCCTTTTCAGCGTGACTGACTCGGCTCCACAAGTTTCTTCTATTTTCCCAACACATCCTTACTTTCATTTCCTACAACTAAGACTTTTCTTTCTTCAAACCTTGCCATGATAACTTCAAGAACAGATAGGATGGTCGAATTTCCGATCTTCTTTCCCGTACAAGCATGTGCTTCACTTCGTTACCTATTGAAGTAGATCTTCACGTCAAGGCATACCCAGATCTAATATCTTTGATGAATGCCACAACCACAAACCCTTACATTGAGAACCTCCTTATTCCGAGGATTTTGAAGAAAGTTCTTCTTGCATACGATCCGGTTTGCTGGAAGCAAGCAATGCCCAGTGAGCCCAGCTCATAGAGCCGTAAGCTACCAGGACTATAGACGGCTATGAAAATGTGTATGAAGAGGAAGAAAAGAGACTTATCGCAAACAACGTCTACTTACCCATGACAGACTCGACTGACAGCTTTGTAGCTGTCGTACAATGACAGTGCTGGAACTTGGTTCGAATCGAGCGGAAGGAGCTTCACGATTCCGGTCAAGCGACATATGCTGAGGAAGGCAAGTTGAAAAAGCGTCAACTTAGGGAGAAACTGGACTACCAACAAACAGCAGTTCCTCGTAGTCCTCGACTCCTATATTCCACCAAATCTAAATGCTAATCAAACATACTGTAAGCGACCTTTGCCTCGTCCCAATTGTTTTAGAGTTCCCGAAAGCCTGATACTCACTTATGATCTTCCAAGCAAGACGCCGCGACATGTCATTACCATGTCTCTAACCATGGCACTCTCATCCAGATCCTTTGCCACCTTGATCCGCCAAGCCTTCTGAAAGCAACCTCCATCGAGCTCTTTCATCTTACAAAGCTGTTCTTTTGTAAGGATTTGAGAGTCAACAGCGAGCCCGCCATCTGGGACGACCAGAAGAACAAGAACAAAGACGCGTTTCGATTCCTTAGAGAACAGAAGGTGCACATGAAAGTGACTGAAGAGCAAATGAGAGCGGCCAGACAACCACAGACCAATTGAAACAAGCACTAGACGGTTATCTCGAGACTTACTGCAATTATATGGTTGGGACCAGGCAGCGGAAGTTCCCCTGCTACACTTGCTCCAGATTTTTCTGCCCGGATTTGGGCGCCTGTTGTATCCATGGAAGCGATTGGGATCTCTGTGGAAGCAAGACTGAAGAGCGGATCTGTGAGCAATGCGATCGCTCGAAAGGCAATACATTTTGGCTCTGCACCGTCCCAGGTGAGGATCGGCGTCTTCACATCACGTTGCGATGCGGTAGTGGGAGCTAACTGCTCTCCGACCCAGCCTTGATGGACTATAGCTTTGGCCAAGGGCGATAGGTGGTGGGCTGAGACTGCGAAGTGGGAATCTTGCAGGTTCCTTGGTGAGCAGATGTACAGCTTTGCGGAACCAAATACAGCCCCATGTCAAGCTTGCTCAGCCATGAGTGATTTCATGTTTCCTCAGGCTCTGTCTTGAGCTCCAATTCCTCCATGACTTCGTCTTCCCTCTCATTGAGCCTTAGACGCTTGATGTTCTCATCTGGTGCATCAACATACGAATCGCCATTGACCAGTCCAGGCGGCTCATCAGTATCATCAACCTCATCGCACTCTTCCCAAAACCTAATAGTGCGATCTAAGCCAGCACTAACAAGCATGCCTTTCCCGTCTTTGCCCCTCTGGAAATCCAAACCCAAAACCACCTTGCTATGCCCTTTTGCTCTCCACAAAACCTCCTTCGTAGACACATCCCAAGCCAGGACTTCACCATCTTCACTGCCACTCGCCACGAACGCCTCCCTCCTCCCCGCCAGCGCATATGTCCCCATCGTACCGCTCAAGGAGTACTGCGTATTAACGTGCCCCTGATACGTTTTCACACATCTCCCCTCCCTATAATCCCACAACCTCACGCACCCATCCAACGTCCAAGCGAGCACAAATTTTCCATTTGCCGTCCACCTCACACTGGCAACGGGTTTCCGATCCTCATCAACCAGCGTCTTCAGACACTGACCCGTCATGGTGTCCCAGATCCGGATCAACCCGTCTCCAGCACAACTGCATACCATAGTCCCATCCCTTATGAAGTCCACACCACTAACCGGATCCGAATGTGCGGGTAACGAGCGCATGACGTTCCCACCCGTCGGCCTTATGTCCCATAGGAAGACGGCCTCGTCGTAGGAACCCGAGACGAGCATGTTTCCCTTGGGGCTAAAGGCAAGGCTGTAGACGTAATTATGGTGGCCCAAGAGCGGGACTCGGTGTGCCTTCCCGCTCACCACGTCCCAGAGGCGGATGGATTTGTCGTCTGAGCCGGAGGCGATGGTGCGGCTGTCGGGCGACCAGGCCAGGACGTTGATGCCGGCGAGGTGCCCCGTGAGAGTTTTGAGGAGGGGAAAGGGTTGGGTCGTGGAGTGAATGTTGATTGTGGCATCGGCGGAGGAGGAGGCTAGGTATTCGCCGGAAGGGGAAAAGCGGATGCAGGTTATGCCGCGGGCGTGGGAGCAGAGGGTGCCGTGCGGGATTGCTTTAAATTTGAGGTGTTTCGAGGAGGTTGGTGGAGGGGTGGGTGTTAGCAGGGGTAGGGGACGGCGCGGAAAGGAGTCTGAGCTTGAAGATCGAGAGCGTGGTGTACCGCCATCGCTTGAGGTGTTTCCCCTGCTCTCCCGTCTGACTCGTAAGGCGTCATGTGTCTGCCATGACCTTCGACGACGATCTGGTTCCTCGCTCTCGCTCCTGCTGGTTGACCTCGAGCTCTCTCTTCCTTGATATGCCCGTCTTGGTTCGAAGGAAGATTTGTGAGACGATCGTTGTCGGCTGGGCGACAAATCTCTTGGAGAGGCGGTCGAAGAGCGACTTGAGGTTCTTCTGCGCTTGGGCGCAGGCCTGTCAATGTCCATGACAGTCCCAGGATGATCAAGTCAATATGGATTACGGCCCTAGCAGGAATTATCGACGACCAACAAGATAACCGGGCTCAGGAGACCAGCATAACACCCATGATATTGACTAAATACGTACGTAGTAGTCTAGGTGCCGGTGCGTTGCCTCTTCCGGTTTAGCCCCGCCCGATCGGGCAACGCGCCCCCTCACCGCTTGGCCCGAAGCTTGGCGCAGAAATTTATGGGA